GGTCGTTAGGCTTCATTCGTTTAGGCTTCCTAATAAAAAAGAAGGGAACCGTTAATTAAGTTCCCTCAAGTAAAAATAACAAAAAAAAAGAAACGAACTTACCTAGTTCGTTCTTTTAAATCTTGGTCGTCCAGCGTCCGTTCGTCCAGGAAAGGGTTTTTAAAAAAAAAATGAATTTTTTTAAAAAATTTAAAAAAAAAATCTGATCCGAAATCTGTTCAGATCGGATCAGATTTTCTCGTGTTTGATCTGATCCGATCTGAATCTGATCGGATCAGATTTTTTTTAAATCCGATCTGATCTACGGATCAAAATTTTGAAAACCGAACCGATCTGACTCGGATCAAATCTGCGGATCCCAGATCAGATCGGATTTTTTTTGGAGCACTAATTGTAGCTAAATAATATGCTCGTACAATTTCATTTCTTTCTAGTGCTGCTTTTTGTAACTTCATATAAAAAAAAATATTTTTTTAAGATAACTAATAAATTGCATCAATTATTTACAACATATTATAAATCATAATGTTTACCTTTTTTCGTGTAATTCCTAAATATTGAAGTGACCTCCAAAGAGTTGCAATAGACGCTCTTTTCCCTGTTAGGCATTCCATTTCATATACTAATTCGTCTAAATACCAGTCTATCTTTTTTCCAACAAGACTTCTGAGTAAAGTTATATCTCTTCTGCTAAATAGTTTTCTTCGGTCAGGAATACCTTTGAAAGGATTTGTAACACATGCCCAACGGTTATATCTCTTTTTTATCTTATTTATAACGCCTTTACTCAAACGCAATGTATTGGCAATATTCACAGTTGACAAACCATCAGCATGAAGGTAAATTATACGCCAGTATAAATCTTCACTGAATTCTTGAGACATAGTTGAGTTTACCTGTGAAAAATAAAAACTTTTATTACACGTTATATTTGTAATTGTTTTGGGAATTGTGAATCTCCAGAGTCAAATTAGGAATCAGTTTATATGCTACTAGCAAAATGAACGTGACCACGATAAAAAATTATAATGAAAATGATACAACAGTGGCTTAGTATCACGTAGATCAAATAAAATTTATGATTTTATATGTGTATGTGATAGTTATTTTTGTAATTTCAAAATCAACATTTTTATTTAAATAGCAAAAATGCGGCCAATCATACTAATTCGAAAATGACGATAAATCAAAAAATAAAAAAAATCTTAGTTTGATTTCAGTTTCATTTCAATTAAAAATAATTGAAAATCATGTACATGTTTAATTCGTGATTTGCCGATCAGTAACATAAAATTCTCAGTGTAACGTGGGCAAAAATTTTGCCGATCACTAATTAATTCTGGAAAATTACGGAAATTAGCCAATAAGTAACACAAATTTATATGCAATTTTCAGCCACTTCCTTTTTGTAAATACGTCACCATAACCACATGTTTCAATCAAAATGACTTTTCGATAATTTTGTTTTTTAATTTCAAAAAGTTTATTAGTGGACAATGTCAGATTGTTGCCTCTAATATATAGGCTCTTTCATAATTTCGATCTTTACAATTCTAATATTTGTTCAAATTTTGGGGTTATATTTTAATAAACTTGTTCTAATAATAAAGAAAAAGATAAAAAAGTCATATTTTGTTTATTTTTGGCGAATTTTTATTGAAATTTCTGAAAGTCAAACGCAAATTTCATATTATCAAAAAAGGTATTTTTCATTGTAGCAAAACTATTGGTTGTCTGGGATAACCAATTTTAAAATGTAAAATTTATTACAATCTTTTATTCGCAATTTATTTATCAATGCATTTATTCTTCTAAAAACCGTTCTGCATGTTTTTTTTTCGATAAACTTGAATATCTAGTAATCCAATTTTCTATCATTTTTAGAGAAGGTATTACTTCAGTTGTAATTTCGCCATTCTCTGCCATTTCTTTCAACCCATCCAGCATATCCTTTGCAGTGTATCGGTCACTAGGATCACGTTGTCCAACCATAAAAAAGTGAGTTAACGCCGTTACTACTTCTTTTACTAGTCTTTTTCCACTGCCTTTTTTACCATATTTCTGATTGCATTTAAGTGCCCATCCAAGTTGTAGGTGAAATATTTGATTCCTATTATATTTTGAAAGTTTTTGAACATTTGATCAATTATTTTACATAATAAAACCAATTTTTACTCACTCATCTATATCTGTTTTTGAGAAATCTTCTCTTGATTCTTCACCAATTTGTGATTCTTCTCCTATTTCTTGCTTCAACAAATTCACTAATTCACCT